GCCAAAGCCTTGAACCTTGGGCGAGGCTGAAATTTCATGCGGATGGTCGGGCTGGACTAGGCCACCCACCATGGCAGGGGCGGGGAGGGTGGCCAGGCTGAGGTGTGTCTGCAAGGGGGAGTAGAGGGGGTTTTTAAAGGGATCTGAACGCCCTGAGGCTGGACAGCCTCGGCGAATTCTGCATGGTTTAGACTGACACTGCTAACGCTAATTGCGCTAGGTCTAGAAGTAGTGAGTTGTAGTGAGAACCAATGCTTCTTGAACCTTTGCTCCTGGCAGGCGCGGTCCTCGGCGCCGCCAACTCCCTCCACTTCTTCAACCCCTCTGCCAGTTCTCAAAGGCGAGTTGTGGGATTTTTCGGTTTGAGGGTGTAGACTGGAGGTAGGTTTTAGAACTTAAGGCAAGGATTCCAATCGCAACTGATATCCCGAATCTGTTCACTCTGGATCTAGCACTGTCAAATACTATACAACAAGGGGACCCCAACATAGACCCCCAAATGCTATAATCCTCATTGTAGGGAAGTTCAAGAAGGCACTCCTAATCTTAGGAAACCCTAATCCCTATAAACCCCAACATAATTAATAACAAGTTTCCTTTTCATTTTCAATTTGCTTTTGCATTTGACTCTCCATTGTTGGGGCAATATCTCGCGGCGTTTCCCAAAATTAGGCATACGTTTTTGGGGGCCCAATGATAGGATAAAGATGGATAAAAGTATTTGGGGGTTACTTGGGGGGTCCCCCAATTGAGGGAAACTACCAAGTATATTGCTCAGAGGTGGAGCGGGTCGTCTAAACCCTAAACCCTACTGTAAACCCTAAACCCTAAACCCTAACCCAGCCTTGGGTGTAAGGCATCACCGTTGAAGGATGAAATCCTGGCGAGCTTGAGATCCTTAAGCCACATCTTGGGGTGTAGGGTTTAGGGACACCTTTGTGCGGATCCCCATAGTTAAGGCTATAGTATTTGTGGGAGTTCCTCAAGCCACATCCGTGGTAACCAGATATCAAGTAGGTAAAGCCTTAAAATTTTAGACTCGCAGCTTAAAAAACACACGGGTCCTTTCAAAGGTCCAGCAAAGGACATGGCCAAGCCAAACCTGCAGAAATTGCCATGTCATTAGGGACCCTAAACCCTAAACCGTCATTTTGTGGCCTGTTGAAGGTCGGCCGTGCACGTGCAGCTCGGCCGAGCACTACAGCACATGCTGCTGCAGGCCTTGCATTTCTTAGTGTAACGTTGGTGGACCGGGATCTGGGATCTTCTGTAGCGCAAACTAACTACCTCATACTCCCACCGTCATCCGTTTTTAGAGCCGCTAACTGGCAGTCGTTCTTGCTGTTGTTGAGAAGGCCTAGTGTGCTGTGATAGCGTAGGCATTTGTCCCGGTGCAAAGGTGTACGTTCGACAGAGGTTTACTTATCTAACTATATGGCCGGATTGAGCGGAACGGACCAAAATCACCGGACATGTCAGTTTGGTTTTTCATTGTCCCCTAGTTTGGAGGCATCCCCGCATCTCACTCGCTGTCATTCCTCTTTCGTCTTCAGCTGTGGGCAGGCTGGCGAGGTTTCAGCGGCCACGCTTTCGGTGACACAGCAGCAATCTTGCAGGGTGCTGGGGCTTACGGCAGGTGTTGAGTATTGAGTATATACGCGGCAATCCCTTGCTGCAACACTTGCTTCCCGAGCGGAATTTGGCGGGTTGCACCCGTTTTCAGAGTTTGGTGTGTGTTTGCGCAAGAGGTCTCCTACTTCATATTGCGACGGTGCATGCTGCATGAGAGCTCGGACTATGGCTTGGAAGGCTGCCATTTTTTCGGTGTCGGAGTTGCTGGCGAGAGAGACAGGGAGGCAATGATCAGGTAACGTAGAAGCTTGATTCCCTTACATCATGAAACCCTTCGTGCCACTGTTTCAAATCTTTGCTGCACATGAAAGCACATCCCAGGATCTTCCCTGAGCCGGCTCAGCCACCAGAGCTGCAGAAAGAGCAGCGGCCTAAGCCCTTGCCTAGGTTGTAAACCTATATAACATGGCAGATTCCATTCAATTTCCATTATCCCGTATATCACCCCAATGTAACCCTAAAATTTGATTGGGATTAATCAGTCTTCTCTTGACGGCTTACACACACGCAAACCTACAGCTACAAGGTTACCTTTCCTCTCTAGCTCTCTCTCTCCATGTGTGCCTACGTATCTGACTGCAAGGCAGAGCAGTGCTTCAATTCCATGCACTGGTGTCGCCTCTCCTTCTTGGCTTCGTAGCTCGTTACATACTAGGTACGAGTCTTACAACCTTACGAAGCTGCCCGTGCTTCTCATAAGCTCAGCCAACCACCTGCCCAGCCAGAAGAGCTGTCCCTGGCAGGGCTGTAGAGACAGGGTTCTGGGAACCCCGTGGGCCCCCGGAGGTTGCAGGCAGAGGACGAGGTCCATGCAGAGGTCAACGGAGTCAACGGCCTTGTGTTTCATCCACCGCCCTGGGCTCAGCTCCACTACTCCTTAGTTTTTGAGTTGCCTGAGGTTGGGGCTACTGCCGCAGATGTTGTGACCAAGGGGGCTTTGGCCTGCTTGCTTTTTGTACAGCCATTGGCAGGTCTCCTGCAGAGCAGCCACAGCCGCTGACTCCTGAAGAGGAGCCAAAGGGTTGCCTTGGGGCTTTTGGGCGCCCAACATGTTCTTAATTTTGGGGTGTTTTCAGTCCTGAATCTGGCAGGACCACCAAGAGATGGACCCAATACCAAAATTAGTCATGCTCCCTGCGAAGCCTTCATCCTGACGCCAACAGGAGGAACAGGAGGAACTGAGGCGTTTGGATAAGGCTGGGGATTATAGCTTCCGGGTCGGCATTTTGTTTCGAAGAGTGTAGGATCTGTGCCAATATGGAACGTAGAGTTTAGGTGGAAGCTTGGTTCAGGCCTCTAGGTGTTGATGCAGGTCCAGGTCGTCACCTGTGCCGCCTTGAGGGTTGAAGATTTGGAGTTGAGAGTTGTTTGCTGGAAGTGTTGCGTTTGAGGCAGCGTTTCTCGACTGGATGTAGGATTGACTCCGTATGCCAAGAAAGTCCTCCACCACAGACTTTGCCACAGATTTCTATGCTGGCAACAGTAGCTGGAATGGCTTGAAGTGCAAGTACCTTCCATTTTGAAGTCTCAGCAGGCATGGGATTTTTGCAATTCTGGAAGCCTGATCCAGAGCTCGCCTTGCGTTGCGGCCGCCACTGCTGCTGTAGAATGAAATGTGATGAAGGATGATTTCAGATTCCCTCGCCAGTGGCAGGCTATCTAGCACCTGAAGCAAAAGATCCAGCTTTCTGAGATGTGTTTGGATAATGTGTACACATATCTCATTTAGCTGCACAGCAGAGCAGTGTGTACCTTCAGACCGGAAGCGAGCCGTAGATAGTCCCCGGGCAGAAAAGGTGAACCAACCCTTACATCAGAAGCTGCGCATCAAAGCCTATGGCATACCCACACATTCACTTCTAGAAGCGTGCCGGCTCGTTCAATAAAAGTCATCAACATGGCAAGGCATCACTCTGAGACCCTGAGGCCCTGAGGTCAGGTGATTTTGCCCTTAGCATAAGGATTAAGATCCTCGCCTTAAAGGTTGGGGACGGAACGGCCGAAAGACTGACGCTACGGCAATGCTGCAGAATCATTTTCTACAACGTTAATCACCTCCCACCCTGACTTTTTGCTAAGGCTCCCACAACACGTGTGGGTTTTTTATGAGGGAGTATTTCAAATTGCGGTAGGCGGTGGTGGTAAGTAATAGGTTATATCATATACATATATATAGTATGTATACCCTACCATAATATAGTAGTTTCCATTTTCTTTTCCATTATCCCCATGTATCACTATCTTACCTGATATATGGAGAAGTAATTAGTTTCCTTAACGCCAAAGTCTTCCCAAAGTCCTGCAACATCAGGGAGTCCCCCACCTTCGGCGCGCCCACGGCGAGCTTGCTGGTGCGTTGCAGCGTCGAAGGCCCGTATTTTTGGGGGTTACACTAAAGCCAAGTTGTATATAGAACCTCGGAGTGTGGGAATTCGCCTATTAAAGCAATTAAAGCAGATCAAAGTTATTACTGGAGTGGTCTCAAGAATTTGTTTTGATTTTATGAGGTTTCCGGAATTCACGAAGCATTGTATGTGAAGGGGGAAGAGATACACCCTATTTAGTTTCCTAAACCCTAGTTTGTCCCGGCATGCTGGAGTGACACCATGAAAGGGATGAACGCCCAGAAGTTTTCCAAAGGGGTAAGGCCGACATAGGCCATACCATCCCATATGAACTATAGTCGAAATTCCTTCAAGGGAGGTATATAAGGGATTGTATAGCGGACTACTATAGGGTTCTTAGGGGGGATACTAGGAGTTTAGATAGTAGCTCATATGGTTTTTCCCCAACATTAGGGGCAACCTTTTTGGGGGTCCCAATAACAATAAGGACTGCAGTATTTTGGGGTCTACATTGCGGTCCCCCTAGGAAAAGAAATTACCATATCTCAGACTTGAAGCCTACACTCAGAAGTCCTTATATCCTGAACTGGTGGCAGCAGGTTCGGCCCACGTACAGCGGCGCTTGAGGAGGACGGACTAAGCTATTGGATTCGAATTTAGCAAATAGGGATTTAGTCCTTGAGATCAAAATGACGGGCTTAGGGTTTTTTGGGTGTGCGGCGCAGAGCTTATTTCTGGCAATGGCTGCTTTGCACAAGATTCACGTATTGATTTGTGTTCAGATGATTGCTGCGCTTCGTGCCAGACTTCCACGGACAGTTGGAAACCACATGCGGATTTTACGGGGAGCTCCAATAGAACGAGCGTAGTTACGCGTGGCTTCTGGAGCTTTATATGCCAAAGCTGTACCCCACGATGTGCGTGTGGATTGATGGGTGTACAAAGAGGGACCGGTGACCAGGCTCAGCCCAGAGAACCTGGCACGCCTTTAAAACCTTCCCACAAACAAGAACACCCCCCCCCCCCATCTAGTACCATCATGCATTAGGCATGCATTAGGGGAATATTCATTATTGGTGGTGTGGTGTGGAGGGGGTTCTATTAAGGGAGGTGATTTTTCCCTAAGACTGAGTCTATGGAATTTCCATGCCAGGAGATTTTTCACCTCCAGAGCGAACTGGAAGCGGCCACGGAACCTAGCAGATCGGGATCCTTTGGGCCCGATACCCCTGAGCTACTGAACGTATGTGGTGCAAGTCCTTACCGGTTCTTAGAGTTTGAGGCAGCAGAAAAAACGCTAAAACTATAAGTACAGATTCGTAAAGATTTAAGGTATGTTCCTTGATGGTGTGAGATTGTCCCACCACATGGCTCCTTTATGATCTGGGCCAGATGTTTGAGTCTAAATGTTCTCGTCTCATAGTGGCTGCTCTGGGTTAGCGGTTGTCATGAAAGGACTTTGGTAACCCCAGCCCCCCAAATTAGGATCCTGTTACAGACATATGATATGGGTGGCTACTTTTGCGGATTGGGGTACCCAAAAACCTCACCATTGATTAGGGCGTGCTGTTTTCGGGTGAAAGCCTCAACCCTAACCCTAGCTAAGCTCAACTCTTGGAAAGCTCCAGCAGTCCGCCAAAGCACACCAGCTCACGGATTTGTAAGCTTGTGAGAGCTAGGGGGGAGCTTTCATGCTGAGACCGACCCTCCACCCCAAACATTACAGGCATGGTAAACACTGAGCCCTCAGCCTTCTGCAGCATTTTGGCTTCTGTGGCAGCTTCGAGCGAAGAACAAACTCCACCCAAGGCTGGTTGAGTGCTTGTGCGCGGTTTAGGGTTTTCCAGGAGTGGTTTAAAAGGCTGTTTGCTCCACAGTGAGGAACTTAACTTGGCTGGCCTTTGTATGGAGCGGTAGGCAGTGCACAATTTCACCATATTTAGGCGTACCGAGTGCCGAAGTTGCAGCTCAGACCATGAGGGAAGTTGCAACCTTCAAAATGGCAGCTGCAATAATCTGCGTTTTTAGTCATATCCCCAGGATGACATGGCTCCTTATTCTTGTAACCGCCTAGTCAGTCCATGACTGAATTTCGTGAGCTCCACGGTGCCCATGTAAGAAATCCGTATCTGAGCACCTTGCCTCAAAGGACCTTGGCATTGCGATGTCTGTGGCGAACGAGGCAGACCTTGAGGTTGCCCGCGAGGAGGCCTTGACGAATCAGCCGCCAATTGGGGCTTTGCAGGGAAGGTATAGTAATATAGCCGTTTAGTCTGCAGGAATATAGTAGTTTAGTAATAATTTAGTAATATAGCTGTTTAGTCATAATATAGCAGCATAGGAATATAGTAGCAATACAGCTAACATCTTGCGCATTTCTAATAGTTGGCGCATGCTCCAAATGAATTTTGTAAAGGCCTGCCAGTTGCGCCCCTCGTGGGATGCATATGAGAGTTCCATATATAGGGATTGAACTTGAACAGGGGCACGCAGCGACTACATGATGCTATATGTTGTAAAGTGAGGGGAGAGCAAAGCTTTTATCTCGGTAATTGTACGGAGTCAGGAAGGCGTTCGTAGGTAGGCCTTCGTACGGTTTTTATGACGGAAGCCTGCAAGGATTTCCATGGGACTTCATAGGGTTGCTCCTTTAGGGCGTCGACGGGGTATGGGCAACCAGGATCCTTATAGTAGTCCCTATACACTCCATTATAGTATTTCTTTTCTATTTCCACTAGTCATATAACCCCTATATAATCCCTATGTAAGCCCCAAATGTGTAATTTGGGAGGCGTACCTCTTCCGGGGAATCTTCCGGTTCCTAGGAGTCGTACCAAGCTTTGACAGCCGAACTTGCTCAACTCGGGATTTTTCAATGTAACATAATGAGGGGCCTAGATTACCAATATAATGGTTCCATATTCCTTGTACATTTATAGTATATGGTATCTGCGATGGTCTTCCATAACTTGAGATTCTGGAGAAGCGTTTACGTCAAATACCCATACCTCCTACCACAATTCTTTCAGTGTTGGGAAAACTCCATGCCCTTAAATTCTGCACTCTTCGGGCCAATCACGATCTTGCAGAAGGATCTTGCTTGGCTCAACTGCCAAGTACATGCTAGGGATGCTATTCTTGAACATCCTGTTTGTGGAAAAAATTCCATCCAAGAGCCCAACAAAGGTAAATTTGAGCATTTCGTCAGAACACTTTTGAGACAAACACTTGCCGAGCAACTAGAGCAAAAACATACCAAATGGACAGTTCTTACCAAAGTTGATATTGAAGTCACGACAGCCTTCGTCAAAAGCTTGCAGTCTGATTCACTTTTGCGGGTCCCGATGATACGAATGCTCGCTGATGCGCATGCTACGCCCCACAAGCTGCATAAAATGGGCATCTTCCCCACTCCCCACTGCAAATTCTGTTTTCATGAAAGAGCTGATTTTCAGCATATACTATGGCACTGCCCTAGATTCCAGAACATTAGAGATGAGTGGCCATCAGCCATGCTGCTGCGCCCCAACTGGCCAGCATGTGCCGAAACAGCTCGTATTTTTACCAAAGATATGGACAGCAGTCTTAAAGGGAAATGGAAAAGTCTTCAGAAATTTGCCGCTGAATTGCTGTTCCAATGGATGGAAATTAATCGTAACCCCGAGTTATACGATCCCTTGCCGCAGCAATCTTTAAACATCCCTAGGCATGAATGTCCTGCAATTTCTTGTGGAGCAAATAATCACATCAAGCAAAAAGCATTCACCAAACATGCGGAGCTGCTGCCATTGCAATGGAAGCCTCCCCTTACGCGTACTGATCTAAATAAGTGGGCTGCAACGCCAACGGACTATGCGTTGATATTCCCTTTTTGGACCAGAGCCACCTTCACTGAGTCACCACAAGCTACAAAAATCAAGACGTGGTCACAAGCTCTTGCTATTTTTGTTCAGGTTGGAGGAAAAGCTGCCCCCTTCTTGGCTAGGTGCCTTAATGTAGGTATGGCTGCCTATAAGTTTAAAGCACTTTCTGCGAGTTCTGCGTTTGAGCAAAATTAGCGATTCAGTCTTTATGATCCGCCGCTGCCAATCAAGTGGTTGCCTTTTCTGCCACTTGCGCTCAGCTTTCCTGACGACGTCTATTTCTCACACTGTTGGGACCTCACGCAAGCAGCTGAGCGACTGCACCAACTTAACATGGCCATCCGCATTAACCACCACTGTAATGCCACTGCAATTCGCATTGCTACGGCTGACTTCGTGGATGCCATCAACCAATCTAGATGTTTCTTACAGAGTGCTCCACTTGATGGATCCTGGCTCCTTCCGACTTTCGCACATAAGAAGCCGCGCCTCCATGGGTAGCACTAGTCATTGATTTGAGACTCAATCCGCAAAGTGAACTGGATCGAATTTCCTGCATCACGCAGATACCCTTGCACGCCTGGCAAAATCTTACGGCAGACGAAATCCGTTCCAAACTCCCTAGTGCACCAGGCGCTAGAGGCAGATTCAAAGCTGCCTTACATAGGTTTTCTAAATTTAAGGATGCACTTGCTACCTTCCTTAGATTGCAAACTTTAAATGCCAGCCCAAAAGCTCATGTTGTTGAACCGAGCTGGAGCGGGAACGAATCCTGCTACTTTTGTCCAAAACTATTACGGTTTTCTGCTGAACCCAGCAAAATTACGCGTTCGTGTCCTTCACCAGGCATCCTGCCTGAGTCGGTATCTTCAGAATGGATTGCGCAATTTGACTCCATCTTAACTGCCATTCAGGCGATCCTTGTAAAATTGTGATGCCAATGCGATGCATTCACTGTCTGCTCTAAACGTGCCATGTAAGTAGCATGCTAACCGACGAGTGTAATATACACTCCGTTTCATTTCGAACGCCAATGACATCTGTCCGCATCAACCTCAGATGGAACCCAATATGGCTTTGGGTATATTATAATAAGATCCCCATATACCCCATATTCTATCTACCTAAGGGGGATTATAATCCAAGGTAGCTATTATGGAACCTTTCGAACTAAAGGCTGGCTAGGTTGCCTGCTGGGTCACATTAGAGGAGATGCGGGTTGCATCAAGGCAAATTTGCGGGAATCCTAGGAACACATGTGGGCCTTAAGGGGTTTACAGGGGCGCTTCATGAAAGGTTTAGGGTTCTCATGTTTTAGGTGGTAGTCACTTTTTGCGGAGCTCTTGGCCCTATCCCCCATCTTATTAGGGGATTCGTAGGGAGTACGGGAGTATTTTTCTTTGAGGTTAAAAAGGCAGCACGTTCCCATATTCCCTACTAACAGTGGGTAAGTATACAATCTTATATGTATATATCCCCAACATACTATAGTAGTTTCCATTTTCTTTCCCCTCCCTTGTTCCCCACTTACCACCAGTAGGCCATACCCGTACAATTGCGTAGATTCCACGAGGTTGCGGCCAACGCGATCCAAGACCTGAAGCTCGGCATTAGCAATTAGAGTAGTAATAATTTTCATAGTTATCATCGTAACAATAACAGTAGTAGCAATAAGATCAAGAGCTATAACGGTTATAATGCTAATATATTTCTAATGCTGATGATGATGATGATGATGATGATGATGGTGATAGGTGCGGTTTTCTGTTGAAAGACACATTCAGCCTTGAGCGCTCACAGGCTCTCTTTCGGGAAGCCTTCGGTTCAAGATGATTTCCCTTCCAGATAGGGCATTTGCTGTTATTGCTCCGTCTAGAACAACGATTTTTGCCTTGTCAGCTAGGGCTACTTACAGAACCTTGAAAACCTTGATTGGCTCCATCGAAATTAGGGCCCCGAGCTATCCCAGCCCCTCTGTTGAAAGGAGAACGACGTAAAATGCGGGACCATGGACTGCACCTCATATGAGCAACAGTCTAAACTCCTAATAACCCATATAGTGCTCCCCTATATAATTCTCTGTAGGACCCCCCTTTGAGGAGTTTAGATTATGTCTCAGATGGAGCTTGCGGTATGGCTGAAGATCCGTAGTGACAGCAACCGCAAACCCTCTACGCCATGTTCAACCGCTCTTCTTTTTACAAAGCCAAGAGCTAAAGGTTTTGCACTTGTCCGTGCCAGATTTAGCTTTGGGAGAGGTCATGCGGTGAAGTCACAAGGCAAGCAGGATATAGATGCTTGCTGGACTTAGGAGGCACCTTCAGAGAAAGCAGGTCAACGGAGATGGCTTGCAGTCATTCGGAAGAAAATACCTTCGCACCCCAACAGCGGCTGTGACCTAGCAAGGCGTGTAACAGGCGAGACTCTTCGCAGCTTTCGGGATAGTCCGAAACTGTAAAGCAATGCTAGATTTCGAATGAACTGAGCAGGTCGAGAGAGTTGTCCTCGGAGTACTGAAGTCTGAACCGTGACCCAGGGCGGGCATCGCTAGAATCACGGCCTCTGGTACAGCACCAAGCCTGCGAGCGAGGATCCACCTTGAGGGTCCTACTAATTCGACACCCGCGGTTCCAGAACCCCCCCAACACTCTACTTCCACAGAACCTTAACATCCCGGCTACGGTTGCTATGGGTACTGCTCTTATTCTTATGCTTGTGAAAAGTTGTTGCCGCTGCCTCTCCCTAGCTTTTTGAGGATATCTTCATGCAGCGAGCGGATGGGTCAGTGTTTTTTCTGCAGTTCCGAGCCTGAAACCCAACAGCTGCAAACCTACATGAAACCGAAACCACAGCAATATAGGATTTCGGGAGGGAGGAAACTCGAGTACCCTCAAATCTCAACTGAATGTTGACATTAAGTGGCCCTCGGAGCCTTATAACCCTCATCTCGAATCGAGGAAGGGCCCCAGCAAGCCGGCCTCCGAACAATGCGCAACGCGTCTATGTTAAGGGGAAATTGCTTTGATTAGGAGTGGTAGAAGTAAGTCTAGGAGTGACCTGCTGGCAACATGAGGGGTAGCTGTCACTCGCTGCAAGTGGTACCAGTGCTGGGACCAGCAATAACAGCGCGGGTAGCAGGGGCAGCGGGGCATCACTTTGTAATGTTTCCCAGCAATAATCTACCATCAGCATCCCGAGCACACAGCCCGTTGTCAGGTTGCGGTGGGAGGTGGGTGAAGTTGGATGATGAACCACGGGATTTGTCCAATCGGACAAGACTAGGGCTGCTTGCAGACAATCGGAGCAGCAGGTTTCCTGATCATATGTGTAATGAAGTATGAACCCGTCTCTAGGATTTGCCAGGCAAGCGCCCCAAGCCGTAAGTCCAGACATTCTATATCAGCAGGATGTGTATACAGGGGCGGACGATTGCCTTCCTTTGACTAGTTGACGGTGTTGGAAGTGCCGCAGCACCGTGGGTTTTACGTTTAGTGATCCGGATTAGGACCCCATGCAAATGTAGTCATAAACCTCGACTACGAAGAGGGCTGTTCGAAATCATAAGGCTCGCTCGCTTATTGGGAGCATGAGGGGAACTTCTTCCTAAGGTTCCTAGACAGTGGCTCTCATTTGGAGACCCAGCACACCAAAGAATGGCTCGTGTTTAGACACTCTACAGCATTTGCACGATTCCCTGTATTCCAATATAATGTATGTGGGTGTAAACTTGTAGAGTTCGTGTCTAAATGCCTCGAGTTGGATTGTAGGCGTGTATAACACGCCTTCAAAGCTTCACCTTTTCCATAAGCCCATTTGGAGAACAGCTTGTGTTTTGTTATGTCATCCTGAGCAAGTATTCCGCAAAAGGTTGATGATGGGCGTTCCCCTTTCTGAAGAGTAGGACTATACTACAAAGTGAACAGTCAAAAGATTCTCAAATTTCAGCGTGGCAATTTACGTCCAGAATGAATACGCGGAGACCCTTGAATTAAAGACGACCGCGGAAAGACAGCCTGGTCGTCGCAAACTCCCAATAGTCTTGTGTTTTCATGTGCTGCAACTCCAGTTTTGTCCTCGTGAGGCAACCACGCCGTCCGAGCCGCCTGAGGACAAGAAAGATTTTGAGATATGATTCAACGTCCAGGTGCTTGAGGGTTTGCTGGTTAGAGGTTAGATGGTCTTCAAGGTTGATTGCCGGTGAAAGTTTGGGGCTTTGCGACTTTGCGGTCCATGACCTTCTGGTTGTGTTCAGGAGTGGTCAGCCCTTGTCCTCCCTTCACCTCCGTGACCATCATCACCAGTAGTACTACTAGTGCTACTTACCACCACCAATGCCACCGTCACCGCCACGCCACCGCCATGACCACCACCACCGCCGCCGCCCGCCGCCACCGCAGCCATGCATCATCACGACGTACCATGTGACGAGCACTACCTTTCTACACAATTGCTGCGCTAGATATTCAAAAAGCCCCCATGACTTCCCCCGCAGAGGATGAAAAAGTGGTTCTCATGCGAGCGCTGGCCGCAGAGGCTGTGATTTTCGAGAGGTTGCACAGTGCTAGACATCATGTAGGGATGTACTCCAATGAACGAGGCTGCAGAGGAGCCCCGGCAAGGGACTTCGCAAAATCAGGGGTTCCCTTTTGTGGCGTCCATAGAATGTGTATACGAACGAGTTGGTATTTAGTGTGGCCTCCGTTCATACTGCAAATGCGGGTGTAATGAACTAGCAACTTTGGAAAGACAAACTTCTGGATGCGCAGTCATCAAACACAAGATAATTTTGCCGGAGGCAACACAAGGTCATTGTTCCAATGATGAAGCACTTCCACCTGGATGATTTTGATCGTGGGTCGCACCATATACGCAGAGTGATCTTGCCGGCGCTAAGAACTTAATTAGGGTGGATTTCAGGGGTTAGAGAGTCGTGAGTCTTTCTGCAAAGGCATCTCACGTTTTCCATCTAGCATTGCAGAACAATCTTGACCCATATGCGTTGAAACCTCCGCCTCGTTATCATGCCCTCATGCCTTGCAGGCAATTGGGACTGCCCTGATTGTCACCTGGCTTGCTTGGCGATGTCTCAAAGCCGGCGAAACAGCCCCACGGGGATGAGGCTTTACAGGTACTATTGGGATATGTGAGTCGCGGTCATCATTGCCGTTGACACTACTTCGCGAAAATGATGAAGATCAATGGGGGACATCCTAAAACGATAGGCTCAATTCATCAGGCTAGGGTTGCAACCATATCCAAGGAAGAGCCCCTAAACCCTAAACTCTCAACCCTAAACCCTAAACTCTAAACCCTAGGGTTACTCAATAATCTTACCGCTAAACCGTTGTGTTTTCACCGCGGGCCCTATACTTGTGAGGACAATTTCGGTCCACTTGATGAGGCAGCACACCAGAGTGTGCGATGAGCTATGCAGTCTCATGTGGTTACTGCAAGTTTGCGGGGGCGTGCTTCTGGGGAGTTTTGACATGGTCAGGTGGACTTTGTGGGTGGTGTTGTCCGCGATAAGCTACTTACACAAGCCCATATCCATGGTCCACGCAAGCGATGTTGACCGCAGGTCGTGTAGGTCATAGACCATAGGTATTCTTTAGGTGGACCCCTCACCCAGTAATAGTGACCATAATGGATAATAGGGATTATATTAGGGTCCTCGTATATTCCCATTATACCACTATTACAGGGTGGTCCTCCTAAGGTATTCTGAAGCTTTGGGTAAGGTACTCTTTGGCTGCGGGTCTGTTTGCGCCACCCTGTCGGGCGCCTACAGCGGCGTTTGGCAGGTGTCTTGGCTTCCTTTCAGTTTAGGTCTGCCTGGAATTGGGTTTAGGGTTTTGGAGTATTGATTGGGATAGTATTAGGGTCATAGTGGGGTTATATTGGGATAATGGAAAAGAAAATGGAAACTACTATATTTTATAGTGGTTATATAGGCGATGTATAGGGATTATATTGGGATAATGGAAAAGAAAATGGAAACTACTATTTTGTAGTGTATTGGGGTTATATTGAGATATGGAAACTACATTTAGTGTTTAGGGTTTGGGAAGCCCCTGTAGTTCTACCTACACATGTACTCGCGGCCATGAGGAGGCTGGGACTACTAAACTGCAGGCGTTCGGGGTTACAGGAGGTCGCAAAATCGTTGTTCCATTTGAGGTGCCCTAAACATGAGGGGCCATACTGCGAACGCGGACACAAGAGGTGTCTACAACTTTGACAGCCCGCCAGGTAGACTTTCAGGTGTGTTTTGCCTGTCTGGCCTTCACTGTCGAGAACGAAGCTTCACTCGAAGCCCAGTGGAGTAAACTCATTTAGGTGGTTGTCAAAATGATGGTCCCTTTTTGGCAGGTACCCTACATATTAGGTGCCGTATTGAAATAGCGACCAAAAAGGGACCTTTGTTTTGACAACCTTGTTTTGACAATCACCCATTTATTCAGAGTTTAGGTTTAGGTGTGCCCAACCTGGAGGCCAGGAAACAAGTGCCGCCCTTGGGCTTGGGAAAGGCGAAAAGTGCACGAAGTTCAACTACCTTGATTGGTCCCCCCCGGGTTTGTTTATAGCCCTTTGTCCTAGGGGACGCTCTCTTGTGCTTGTACGGGAGAGGTTGAAGAGATAACATATTTTTGGAAGCACTGCTTCCCCTTAAGAGGTGAGGGTATGCTTTCACTTCCTGAGGGAGGGCGCTTCAAATCCTGCAGCCTAAATGGTAGTTTCCGGCTTCTTTTCCATGATCCCAATATAACCCCAATATAAATAACCACTACAAAATATTGTAGTTTCCATTTTCGATTATCCCAGTATAGCCCGACTATAAATCTAACGTTACCCCAATGTGAACCCAAAACCCTAAACCTTAAACCCTAAACCTTAAACCCTAAACCCTAAACCCTATCCTGCCAATGTAGCCTATTAGGTTGCCGCTGTGTGGGGCCTCGGTGTATCCTTGGCCATCTACACCACGGCGGAGGCACCGATTTTCTGCAAGACATAAGTCTAAATTGGGGTTGAATATGGGGATAGAAGAAAATGGACACTACTGTAGCATATTGGGGGTTATATGGGTAAATGGAAAAGAAAATGGAAACTACTATACTACTATAGTATAATAGGGGTCTATAGGTTCAAGCCATGTGTGGACCTCATCGATGTAGCCTCTTCTTCTTCCCCAACAGGCCCTCTCATGAGATAATCTGCTTTCCTTACTCCCCTCTGTGCGTGCTCAAAGGGAGTTGTCGGCGAGTGACGGGGGATTTGCTGCAGGTTTGGGGTAGCTCAGGTTTGAAATATGAGAGTCAGAGGTTGCCCTCCACCTTCCCCTTCCCGTCCTATGGCAGCCTGACTTGGCAGTCATTCTTCTGCCCACAAAGTTTGTTCACCCTTAAGTTGAAAGGGGGACTCAGATTCATCCCCTTCAAACCCAGCATCTCTCTAAGACCCTGTACCAAGAATCCTCTAAACCGTAAACCCCAAACAATAAGCCCTAGACCCTAGGATCTCTTCAGAAGTTCCAACCCCATCAGGCAGCAGCCTTCCAAAATAGACAAGCAGTGTAATGTAGGGGCCCGCATAGTCGGAATGAAGTCCTTTGGGTATATTATACCGTACCTACTGTGAGGATTGTAACGGAAAAAAGTTAGTAATGCTCAGGATTCTACATCGAAGGTTCCCAATAGTTCACCCAGAAGCAAGACCCCCCTATACCCTAAACCCCGGTTTAGGGTTTAGAACAGCCGTTTGGAACCCCCAGCGTACCCTGTAAAGGCCATTGTTCATTCGTGATATATATATATACATGTAGGGAGAGGTTTATGTATTTGTTTATATGTTTCAAAATATTTTGTGTGTCCTCCAACCTGCTAATGTTCAAGTTGCATAGCGAAACACAAATCCAGAGCAACTACGCACCCTAAACCCACAACCTCTGACGTAGAGCCCTTCACTCGAAACATAAGAACCCTTCAAGCTCAAGAGCTGCAGAAAAAGTAGGCAAGCCCAGACGCAGAGTATAAGGCTTAGGGTAAGGTTTCGGGTTTTAGGGCTCAGGGCTGTAATTTGAACTAGGGCTCCCAAAAGTTAGATCTTTCCTTGAGATGAGTCAAAATTATGGACCCTTTTTGAATATGCGACGGCACCTAATGACCTAATGTTCAGGGGTACCAAAATGGAACCCTAATTTCACTGGGAACCCCCCATATGAGGGTGACCATCTCCGCTTGCCGTTAAAGGGAGTTTACTGGGAACTCCAAAACAGGGAGCCCCAAGAACTTAGTAGGAATACGATGGGAATATGCCCACCAGGGTCCTTACATTCCCAGAATATTCCTACCATATTCTTGCCGTTCCCTTTTTGGGGTTCCCAGTTCAGCCCCTTTGCCAGGCAAGCGGCGCGCATCTCAACCCGGCTGTTACGCTTGCCTTTTTGCAGCTGGGCCCGCATCCAGAGCGTTTGCCCTCTTAAATGAGCAAAGGCACCCTTGCAGCGGACCCTATGTTTCATGATGAAAGGTTTAAACGGTTCCGGGTTAAGGGTTCTCGACGAGATTCATCCCCGCAGCTCTGTGATCTGAGGCTCGTGCGGCCTCAGGCACACGGCATGACTGTCGTGAAGTCGCTGCTGCAGGGTGCCCAGCATTTCGGGGTTGTGGCAACAACTGTAACCATCTTGTACAAGGATTGGAGATTTGTACGCCTGCTGGAGCGAAAAAAAATCGGTGAACAGGATTCTTGCCGTGGAGGCTGGTACCACATTGGAAGATGCAGGGACAATCAGTTGCCGTCCCCATGGTGGGGAGGCAGAGCACGAAAGCAAACATTCTACATGAAAAGTCCTGTGCGGGCAGCAATGTGCAAGACCTCAAGCGCAGCAGGACAGATTGTGATTTGGGAAGATTTCACTTCTGGGCACACCAAAAATGACATAGACATTCATAAGCTGATGGCGAGAGATTGTCTTGGCTACTTGGAAGCATGAGGCTACTTTACCCGTCCAAAGGCATCACAGTTGTCCACAGCCAAGGTATGTGGTGGCCCAAATGGTTGGCGCCATCCTGGCTGGAGCGACGCCAGCCTCATCCAGGATGTCACTGACAAGGTTCATGCAAAGCCTGATGGTCTTCTGGTTTGTGGAGATTGCTTGGCTTAGAGGTTTATCTCCCTGGTGCTAAGGAGGGAATGGGGGAATGGATCCCTATAGGAGTCCCTATATACTCCCTTATAATACTCCCTATAATCCATTCCCCCATTCCCTCCTAAGCACCAGGGAGTTATCATTGGTTTAAGGGTAGCCTCCGACCGGAGCCGCCAGAGGATCCTGGCTACTTCCTGCTCTCCAGAAAGCGTTGAAATTTGCTGCGGAAACAGCACCGCATGAAATTTTGTTCGGTTGTGCATCTATGCTGACTTAGGAGGGGGAACCTGGAGGGATAAGTGAGAACTTTAAATGCAGGCTGGATCCCTAAAGGACCCGAGGCATGTAAGCTCGGCCTGGTGGGAAGAAACTGTTTACCGCGCTGCGCCGGGTCTTGAGACCAAGCCAGCAAAGCACCTGAAAGGCTCCACCAAAGCTTCCTTACGCCAAGGATGAACCTTCTCATCTACGGCGGGACCATTGCGGCTTTCGAACGTGAGCGCGCTGTCCTATTTAGCATGTCTTCGTTATATTTTTGGGGGAAAATTCATTCAACGGGCTTCTGCCTATCCCCATCAAACGAAGGAACGGCATTGTCCGCGGCCAGCCAAAATCAATCCTGTCGGCTTCGGCATTTGGCGAGTAGCCGGGCGGCAACTACAGGAAGGGAGCTCCCAAGAGAGGACCTTAAGTGAGCCCTATATGGCAGTTTCCCGAAATAGGGGGACCCCAATAGTATTATCCTTGTAATTATAGGAATCCCCAAACGGGCTCCCTCAATTTTGGTAAACCCTAATATGGCACTCGTATAGCCTTTATGTAACATAAGAGGATCCTAATATAATCCCTATTATCCCTTGTAGTCACTATTACTGGGTGGGGGGTCCACCTAACTTATAGGGTTTATAGGCTTTAGGAATAAGGGGCTTTGAGGGGAATCGCGGTGGCTTCGTTACTGACGTGTGGAAGGAAGCGTGCTGTGCTGTGCTTCTCCATTGACGTGACTTCACATGCAGGCATTGACAAATAGCGAGTGAGATCAGTAGCTGAGAGCAAATACAAGGATTACAGCGTCGGTGTTCAGATGATGAGGAAGGCTTTGGCAGGTTGTAGTATAGAGCACAAGGTGAATGATTAGCTTGGTAAAGGCCTGAAGCACAATGCAGACACGGGTAGGCGCCTCGGGCACTGCCCCAACGCAGCCACAAGTAATAACAACATTTCATGGGCCCTCCAGAGAGTATGCCTCGTGGCAAGGTACTTCCCGAATCCGGGTCTGTCCAAAGAGTACGCCAGCGGTCCGTACACTCAAGACGATGTCTCCGTATTCGGAGCCCTCATGACGGAGGCGCACACGACAAGTTTGCATTTGGAAGGCTGAATTCATGCCTCAATCTGTCAGACCTCGATTCCCATGCTTCTTCAAGATTTCCTATTTGCCCCAGCCTTCCCACCAAGCTGGTGTGCCACTAAACTGCGTGTCGAGTGTCGAAGCCCTTGCAGCTGAGACAAGGCCTTTCATTCGAAACGTTGGCCCTGGGATCAATGGTAGCGTGGGTTTCAAAGTTCAAGGCAGCAGAGATCAAACCTCCCCAACAGGAATCAGGCAGGCTACCGTAAGCGTAAGGCAGAGCACCTGTTTCGGTGCAAGCGATGCAAGCCCTGTCTTTATGTTTTGCAATTCCCACGTTTCCACCGATGGCGCTGCTAGCTTTTTCCATCGAACAGGCTGAACCTCGGATATTGTAAGTTACGTATACGCAAAAAGTATCAATGTCTTCACCACCAATCAACTTAATTTCGTGCACAAGTTGTGCTAGCGTGGCGAAGGAAGTCCGGTACCCTGTGCAGGAACGCGGCTCTGCGATTTGCATCCAAACAATGTACAGACTTGACTAAGTGAGCAATGCCTGCTTTCCTTCTAGGCCTGGGGTACTTTGATCCTTGCTTTCGTCATCTTTGGCATCACCAACGGCCGCAACAAGGCCCGGTGGTCTTCCGAGCAGAGGCATGTAGTGGCGGAACTACCTTATTTCAGCCCCCATACCCCAAAAAGCACTACGCAAGAAGATCCTAGGCTCCTGGACCCTGGAGCGCAGGCGCAGCAAAGCTGCTTACAGAGCTACCTACCTACCTATGTACGTACCTACCTACCTGAGTCTGCTGACACTTGGGAATCCACGTACTGCAGGAGGCTGAAGATTAGGAAAGGAATTCTGGACCGCTCCTCGTTCTAGACCATAAGCACACAGACCATTGATTCAGCAACCTTTTAGCTGCGTGTAGGCGCTGCAGCGCAAGGGTATGCTCAAGCTGCCACAGAAAGCATCACAAGTCAAGAAGAGGTTCCTTACATCGAGATCTGTTTTGGCTGTTCCTCGCATGTGTTCCTGAACAGGGATTCTTGGGTCTTACGACTTGCGATGCTGGTGTCGCAGAAGAAACCCTGATCGGGTTTTAGCCCAGACGCGGCAGAAGTCATTCGTCATGGGTTGCTGTAGTATGTGAGGAGTCTTGTACGGCCAGCGATAGCACACCAAAGTAAGGATGACAAATATGTGACTATGGAAGACGACTAGTTATCAGCCAATCTGGTATATCAATGTCAGGACCATTTGTGCGGGCTTTCCCAGTGCAGGGCAGATGCCCAACTTTATTCTTCACAAGCCTCTGATGCTTGGTCAAACCCGCTTGCTGGCCCTGCCAGGTCTTGGGCAGTGTGGAGCGTGTCGGCGTTCCCTTCGTCATTGGCATGACGGTGGCTGTCCTCCTTCCCCTCTATGCCCCAATCACCCAGGCACCTATGGCAGATAAGAAGATTTCGGAAGACCGGGCCTTTACGCAAGGAATTTTGGTAGGTCATCATCTTGTAGCTTTTGTGAATGCACTTAGCTCTTTCTTTCGTGCTCCTCCAGAGAGCTTAATGCAGTGCAAGCGACGATACTGTCTGACAGTATTAAGATCACCCATACCACATCCCACAATGATATCCTTAGATGCTTTTGCAAGTCCTAACCATAAGCCACCTGGTCATGCTCACGTACGTTCTGACGAGAGCGGAGCTCCCATGCACATATCTCATTGGATGTTTGCGACTTGAAGAGGCTTCCTCATGAAGGCTTGCATTTGGATATCCATCTTCTGAGGAGACTCAACTCCAGCAAGTTTACCTACAACCCAATAACCACAGGTCTGTGGCTTGCACCAACTAATGGCGGGTTTGCTTTTAAATTGCAAACCTGTACCCTACATATTGTAGGGATTTTTCCAGAAACAGGGGGAACACAAGCTAGACTCCGAAATATTAATATGTCAATCCTTATCATCAGACACCCGAAAAACGGACCTCTAGTTTTCCTGAATCTGCTCCCAATCGATATAGAGACCAGTTTCAACTTATGTTCCATTTTTCCATTGATGATTGGGATAATACTCCTATTTATCCCTTTGAAGGGACCAAGGGTGTCCATTTCATTTTCCAGGTCATTTTCCGTTTGATTTTCCTTTATTTGGATGGTCTCGCCCTACCCGATAGCAGTAGCTTCCGTCTTTTCATTCCTAAATATACACCTACATGCTCCTGTATATCTTCTTCTTACACAATCCTGGAGTTCTATATAATCCTTACATCATCATTCCCTAAGGCCTAAATCCGAAACCCTAAATCCTAGATTAGACCCTACATCCTGAACCCTTAACCGAAGATCCCTAAATCCTGAACCTTTAATCCTCATGCAACTCATGTCCTATAGTCTAAAATCCTAGTATCCCCCTTAACTTTTACAGGAAACCCTATATAATCCCTTATATTACCCCCTCCCTTTAAGGAGTGTTTAGACCACAGAAAATATATGTATCCCCCTTACCACAGTTGGCCTTCTGGCCAGGCTGGGTGGAACCCAGCCCGCGACTTCGGTCCCCGCATCGTGGCGGCCCTTTGGCTCTCAGTCCTGCCTGTAGGTCCAGGGTACTTGGTAAAAAGGGTAGAGGGTTGAGGAAACTTAAGTGTTAGGCTTCATGTTATTCAGGGTTTAAGGTATTTTGAGTTTAGGGTTTCGGGTATTTAGGTTTAGGGTTCGGGGTAGTCAGGGTTTAGCGGGGGCAGGATTACAACGCGGGTATGTGAGTGTGCTAATACGCCACGTATGCCTAGATTAGGAGGCCACCTTCCCTGAAAGCTTTGTGGCTACTAGTACTACTTGTACCCTGTATCCTAGACAATAATTCTGACTTTTTTCCATTTGTCCCATTTGGCTCTCCATGCCTGTAATTGCCTGGAAATATCCTTATACGGCCCATATGCCAAAGCCTAAGCTACTATAGTAGTGTCCGCTTAATTTTTAAATTTCCTCGATCCCCATTAGACCCCTGATTTATCAACCCCCCTTCCCTTAATATGGATTATATAATCGGTATCCTAATATTAGGGCCTTTGAAAGGAGGGGGTTTATTAATCATGGGTCTACCTTATTACAACTAGCCAGAAGTGGCCCAGGCCAGGTTTCATCATAGAGGTCAAGGGCTTAGGGGGCGGGGCTTAGAGTGTGACCCATGCAAAGAAACCGTTGTAGTTCATTCAAAGCACAGCAGCTACTTGAAGATGCAATATGTTGCAAGACTTGAGCTCTATGAGGTTTTGAATAAATCATGTGGACGCCCTTTCTCCTAAACAGTGGTATGTTGGAAAAACCTTTTCAATTTTTAGTGCCCCTGAACCTTAAACCCTATATAATCCGTACTGTTATTAACCTTAATCCCTAAGTAACCCTTATAAAGCCATAAAGGTGTGTTTTTAGTAGGGCTTCCAACGCAGGCCGCAAAAAAAACATTCAGCCGGCAACAAAGCCCGAAAGTTGCAGGAGATTGATGGAAACATATCATTTCTGCCTAGCCCTGTTTAGGCTTTAGGGTTTAGGGTTTAGGGTTGCTACAGGAATCCTTGATCTTGATAAAACTGTTCATACTGCCCTGTTAGCAGTCTGTTTCTCTCTCTGTATGTGCCACTAAACCCTAGACGCCCCAGACCTTGAGTGAGAAGCAGGACATGCACACGTATACAAACATGTATCTGTTGTATGTATCTATGTTGTCCTAACCCCTAGAAGCTCTGAAATGGCCACAGCCTGTCTACCTGCCCAGGAAAGCCTCTACACATGCGTACGTAGGCACGTAGTAGGCGCATACATACATGTACACATACACGTCTTCATTGTCTATGTCTGAACCCATGTAACCCCCTCCCTCCAAACATGCCACCCGGTAATAATGAACATCCATCCGTACAGTACCAGTACATCATGACGGGAGTTTTCATGAATTATGAGGGTTCTGGGGGGGTTCTTGGCATTTTTAATCTAGTCCCACCAGAACCTATAGTGGAAATCCGGATTCCATCTCTGAATCCTTTTGATGTCCATGTGATGTTCCGTTCCCAGTGGATCCTATACAAATGCTTGACAAATCCTGCATTCTCAATCCTAAGCTCTACATTCTAAACTCTAAGTTCTGAACCCTAAATCCTAAAGCCTAAACCGCACCCCCTACCCCCTGTAAGTTATAGGACTCTTTGGGGGGAAGATGGGTAGCCAGGCCTTGGGTGGCTGGGGGGAAGTCGCCATCCCGGGACCGCGGAGTGGCTTCTGGAGCCTCAGATATCTTTACGCCTAGGCTTAAAGGTTTAGGCCTTAGGGCTTAGGGCTTATAATCTAGGATTTGGGGTGTAGGACTTGGGGGTAGGATCCAGGATTTAGGGTATAGGGTCTCTGGTTTTGGATTTAGGGTTTAGGATTTGGGAACTAGGATCTGGGATTTGAAGTCCCTTTAGGGTTTAGGAGGATCTATGGTTTAGGAGGATGGGCGCGCTTAGGACATTTGCCGCCTTTTTGCGCATCGATGCGGCATGCTCGTGTTGTATGCGGCTTACCGGTACATGTCATCTGTAGACCAAGTATCATGAGCAGTTCATGTTTACCGGCAGGGCCAGTACATTTTGTACGAACCAGTTGTAACCAGTTCACCACAAGCTTTCGCATTGGGAAGCACACTCTAAAAAGCGGGATGTTGAAACTTCCAAGTCAGAGTTGGAAGACCCGAGTGGCCATCCTCTACGTGTTGTGCAGTGGGCCAAATTCTATTTTTAAACGAAACACTCGTGCTAGCCGCCCCTTGTCTCCTTATCGAAGTCAGAATGGCATGGCATGCGTGGCATTTCGTCCATCTCGGAGGCACTTCAAGTTGCACCTGCGGAGGATCCTCCGCAGATGTCGCGAAAGGGCCTGAAAGAAAAGCCTGAACCCTAAGACCGTAAATTTTAGATCGTCAATCTCAAGCCTTGCAGGATACAGGCTTGGCGCGACAATGATGGCCCTCTTTGCGCCAAGTCCAGACGTTAATTGAAGGCGGAAATTGAACCGCTTCGACGCGGAGAAAACACCACGCGTGCCGCATTGTTCTGAGTTGTCTTTAAGAGAACGCGGTGTTTTGGTTGCAGTTTACGAATACGACGTGCTTAATTATCCCCCCCCCAACCCCCAACCCCACCCGTCCAAACGTCCCAGCAAACGTCCTGGACGCACCCGGGAATTTTAGGCTTTAGCCCTTGAGATCTAGACTTTGAGGTTTAGGGCAGTCTCTCCCCGAAAAAGGGTTTAGGATTTAGGTTTTGAATGCGTTTGAGCTTCTGGTGACGCAAATACGTTGCCCTGGGAAATCCTCATGCAGGGTACAAAACAGGATTTGGGGCGTGGGGGGGGGTACCATGACTGCGTTTGTTCTGGGGATTGTATACGGGTTTCTCAAAATAATCCCTTCCTTAACGCCCTTGGTCCCTAAGGGCCACCGATTTTTGATGATTTTGGGTGCTTTGTACTTTGCGGGGTTCAGCGGTGCGCTTGTTGTTGCCTGTCTTGTTGCTTGCTGCCGTTCCTGTTTTTCCGTTCTTCTGTTGCTGTCACTGTTTTTCGGTTGTTGCGGTCTAGCTTCTGCCGCTTGTCGGTTGTGGCTTGGATGCAGGCAGTGCTGTTCATGTGCTAAGCTTTGCCGTGGTGTAGGCTGCGTGAAAGCATGATGGCTTTCCGCTCCCAAAGTATCATGCAAGATATTGCAACGAGCTAAGGATCTACATCGTTGCCCGGCAGCATTCAGGACTCTGGGTGGCGTGACCATTTGATTCGGCTAGTTGGGTTCTCTATGAAAGGGGAGGCGTGGATTAAGCTGGACTCCATGGGTTGAGCATCGAAGCCCGCACATGGTTTGTTGTGATTTGTTGGGGCACCGGTCTGAAGCGTGATCATGGTCCCCGATCCCTGACCACCTTGAGCAACAGGTCATCCCTGCCCCTAATGCCTACTTCCACAGAAGCAGGATGGTCAGTGACTGTATTTTCTTATGGGCCTTGAAGAGTCTTGTAGTAGAACATCCACCAGCAGCCTTTTTGCAGCTCTCTCTCTTTGCATGCTTTGGCTTAGTGAAAATCATTAAGTGCGTTTGTGATCCGTCCAGCAAGTATGGGTGGTAAGTATAAATCTCGAGATCAGAAGAATCACGTCGGTGCTGGTGGCGTTTGCTTTTAAACCGTGTCACTACCCTTGACCCCCAATATCCTAGCCTCCTAGACCGGCTCCTGAGGTCGGTCCCTGCTTGGGCGCGCCAGTGGGCGCGTTTTTGGCGGAGAAGCTGCTGTGGCGAAAGGCGAGCTGATGCATATGTTCTGGAGATACAGATTTTTGCGTCAACTGGAAATCGTGCTGTGGGGTATTCAAAGGTTAGGTGATTCAACTTTGCCTTTATCCACAGTATCACAACAATAGTCTGCTAGCCCTCCCAAAGCAGAATCTGGGCTAGACAAAGCATCCCCCAAAGCAAGAATCCGACAGCACATCATCCCTGCATTTGACTTTCCGTATGATCTTAGCACAAGCCAACGTGCATGAGAAGCATTTCGAAGAAATTGCTGTCATGATGGTGCAGATGTTGCAGGGAGGCCTCCTTCCACTGGGCGCGAGAAGCATCAGCATATGCTGCTATAGCTTTTTAACTCTCAGGCTTCGATGGATCGCTTTGGCCCAGACTTCCGTGAATTCCTTTAGGCCATGTAGGTGGACTGCGTCTTATTTGCGATCCTGCCTGCTTATCTCAGAGCTCTTGGCCCTAAAGCATGACCTACATGGAGTCTCTGAATCCAGAGTCTCAGGGATACACAGTGGAAGCCTGAAAATTCTCGCCTCCTTACTCCTAGCACATGACACCCAACCAGACCCCAAGAGTAGGAGGTCAAACCTTGAGGTCTACAGATTCCTTGTATGACCCGCCCTCGTCCTTAAACTTGACATCCCTATAGCAGACGCAAAAGCCCAATTAGTACCCCTTTACCCTTTCCATTTACGAAGGTCGCCACCCAGTGAGCAGCTTGTCGGTCAGTGGGGGGGTGTTGTTGCTCGGGGGTTCTTACACCAGGGGGAAGACGCAACATGTGCATTTGGTGTAGGGGGCTCTGGAACAACATAGGGGTCAGAATTTTGAATTCTATAATTTAGGGTGACATTACAGCACCTCCAACACATCATGATCCAGCAAAAGGTTTGAAGCTTCCAGAAGCGGTAAGGTGTAGTCAACGCTGGAAAGCATTTCATTGTTGGCCTGAAATTGAATTACAATCTTGGGGAGGGGGGTCACAAGTTTGTTTCGACAATTTTGGGCGCCATTCATGAGTACTGTGTCTCATGCTTGGTTTTCAAGAGTTCTGGATGCAAGCGCCATTAATTGTGACAACTGGGAATACTAGGATTTGCAATGGTTTGCTCGCGTTCATGCGCCATCACAGGCATGTCTTCCTCAAATAAAAGCATTGTGACGAGCATGTCGTTGCAAATCGCTTTGCGAATACCTACCATCCCCAAAGATTGTTGCAACTGACGTCCCTACGACTGCCTTTGTATCCTTTTAACCCCTGACTACGACCTTGGTGTCAATTCCGAATCTCTGTGAATTGTTTTCGGCTCTGAATCCTTATAACATCTGCCTTCACTGCCCTGGCCATGTAAATGTAGTAAATCCCAAAGACTCAGCGACAAGCCTACGTAATCACGCATGTTGATCTTGGGGTGGTCAGAACAGAAGACGGGGCCACAGTTACGGTTTCTATCCATGCTGTGGGCAAAAGGAGGAGGTGGAGTCGGACAGGATCACTTGTTTGGTGCATACTGTCATCATCGTCTTCGGCTGCGGTGACAGCGCTGCTGCTGCTGCTGCTGCTGCTGCTGCTGGTGTTAGATCACTTTTCACTTGAAGCGTGTGGGCAGGCACTAGCGAATACGCCTTATCCGGCGGCACTGGTTGCCATTAGGTTTGGAGTTTGGCGTTGGTGGCATAACCCTAAAGCAGCTCACACGATCGGTATTAACTCCGATACAAGTCCAGTTTCAATTTCATGTTCCATTTTCTCCATGGGGGGCATTGATAGGTTGAAAGCCCACCCGATCACTAGCATTTCACGCTCAGACCGGCTCTCTCTCAACTCCCTACAGCTCATGGCTGCCTTGGAACTCAACGCTCATATTGGCCTAACACTGCGAATCCTACACTCGCAGTTCAAAATTGCTGCCCTCTCGGCAATGTAATGCTTCGCTGGCTGCAAACTTGTGATGTCAACTCCTTCCTGTTCCTGCGCGGCCCCACTTTCAGGTAGCTCGATGACTGAAACCACATTTTGAAAGTGGCGCACTGCTACTGAAGACTTGAGATTTTCGGCATCCGCCAAGATCTCCGCAAAGCCTCTTCAATTGTAGTGCCCACGCCAGGTCCTAGAAGCTCAAGGGTCTTAATACACCTCAGCTAAGGAATTTACCTTGAAGGATACAAGGATCCGCTACATGACTTAAGATGTACGTTCGCAATCAAGAGGTAGTTGGGGCTAGGACAGTGTATGGACGGAGGCTGTAGATCGGAGGTTGGGCTGGATTGCGCACATCAGGAAAGGTCAGGCATGTCTTCGATGAAGAAGTGCCGGGCCGCTTCGGTAGTCTTGCTTTCCAGGAGTTGGCAGGTGCTGAGCCAGTGATCCGTGCTCAAGGTACTTGAAGGTTCCTCAAAAATTACTGTCCCTTTCCCTTTGAATTCCTCTGCATAAGGTACACCCGGCTACGTTTGGGGCAGTCGCGTGTCTCTTGCAATTTCGAATCCGATCCAAGAAGGCCTCAGTCATCAAGAATGTAGACCCGTGACTAATAAACTCTCACCTTTTAAGGGCCTTACTATTAGGATCCCTATTATAATCCCCATCAAGGGGAGGGGGTTTATTAATCAGGGGTCTGGGTTAAGAAGGCAGGCTGAGTTGCCAGAAGGCGACTTGTTTGCCATTGGGAGAGCAGTCTCATTGCAAACAGAAGACATGGGGTTGGTTCCCGCCAAGAAAAAAATGGCATACACAATCTAATGGCTCACCCAGCCTGAACTTAAGTGATCAAGTGGTCGCCATACTGTGGCAAGAGGGCAGTGCTGGTTTGAGTTAGAGGCTTGCGACTCTGGGCTTTACGTAGAAGGCCTAGTCTGAAGCCAAGGATCAATAAGGCTACTACTACACTGTTCCTTCTCGTCTTTGTATGCTACATGCTTGCTGGCTTCCGACCTGGCATGTAGGCTAGACCTAGACCACACCTTATATGCCGACAAAGTAGCTTGGGCATGATCTACCTGCTGACATATTCCTTACTCCTGAACAGCGCCCTCCGTATGAAAGTTGGTTGGGCTCTGCTGGACTTCCAAATTTGGAGCCCTCAAAACACTGGATTTGCGGAATGCCTCGTAGATCTTTATGCCAGCCCCTGGGATACAAGCCAAGTCTCATCTTTCTGCGCAGTGAGCAACGTTTTGCTGACTTTTGTGGGCCTTCGCAGGCATTTCCGGGGATGTAGATGTGAGTTCGAGGGGGAGACTCTTGCAAGAAGGAGCTCAACCGCACAAAATCCTTTGCGATTTGTTGGGTTTCATACCCTAATTATAAAGGTCCCTGGGCAAGCTTTTCTTGTTTCCGTTTTTCATCACATCACCGCACGAGACCGCCCAACTAGAGGAGGAGTCTAGCTTGTCAACTGCAAAGGGTGTGGTGATCTCGTCCAGCCTGACAGGCCCACGTCATGTCAGATATGTTGATCCAAATGATCGTTTGATGCCTTTCAAAAGGAGGCATAACTGCAGAGGCCACGGTGGCCTTTGCTCTCGAGCTCGCCTCAATGGCGCATGTAGCCTGCCGTGCGACTTTGTGAGCCGACTGAAGAAGTCAACAGGTTGCAGGGAAGTGTACTGCAAAGCAGTGCACATGTCTCATGTGTCTCAGCCGGCCGGGCTAAGCCCAGGCTTGCTGCATTTAGGAGTGCTTTTCTCTCAGCTCGACTTTTGACAAGCTTTTCATAAGAGACGGACGTGACACGACGAACCAGCACTTGACGCGCTTAAAGGGAAAGGGATGCTTGACTAGAAGTTGGAGCATTCGTGCGGGCTCCGGAAGGGTACGCTAGCATTCGAACAGGCGGTAGCTCCAAGAACTGACATCAAATCTAGAAGGCCCAAGTGTTTCTTCAAGCGCTCGTGACCGGTTAGTGTTTGAATTGGTAACTGTGAGAGCTTGTGGCTCCTTTGGCATCTTTATAGCTACAGCAGTCCGGTCAAGTCAACAGCTTTTCAGCGGTTCCTTCCTGAAAAGTTGGAGCAACCACTGATTACGTAAGTTGTGAGAAGCATGTTTCTCATCTCTTGGTTTTCGTCTTACTGTGAAAGCGTGGTAGCCGAGCGGCGCAGTGAGTTCAACCCCCGGGTGCTGAACCTTTTCCTGGAATGCACAACTCCTGCTCCAGCAAAGTGTCGCGGGACAGGAGAATGCCACATTGATGCTTGTAGCTTGTTGTCGTAAAGGGCTAAATTTGAAAGGCCAAAAAAGAGAACCACAGCTTGAGAATCCAGTCTGAGGCTGTCGAAGTGCGAGATCAAATACTTCGTGCGGGCCTCATCAGGGCTCAATTATGACACTCGAACAACCCCTGAGGATATAGTATCGGGCGGATTAATGATAAGTCTCAGTGATGCTCGTTGACTTCTTGTTGCTTATGACTTCAAAATTGACAATTCGAATACTTCTTATGAATTCTTACCAACCGCGTAACACGATCCCTACAAAGGATTGGCAACCTCATCTCTGAGCAAGTGTTGATACTATAGAAGTGTATGGGGCCTGTGGCATTTAGATTTAAATGTTACTATGGGTTTCTTATTTGAGCGGTTGAGGTTGCTGCTGTTGAGCAGACAGCGTCCCGCTATAGATATCCGCGAAGCAGGTCCTTCATCGACCCCGCGGCGCCCTTTCCCAATGTTCGCATGAGGTGCTGCGCAGCCTTATCGCCCGCGAGACACCAGCGCCACGCCAGGCTCTTAAACATCGAATGCGGATCTCTCCACACTGCAACCCCCTTGTGGGAGCTTATGAAAGCTTACTGAGCTAGCCAGTGGCAGTTGTGTGTGCGGATGGGCTCATACAGGTTTCTCAAAACAGTATGCTCCGTTTCGGGGGAAATGCTAGTTAGCTAGAGGGACCTCAACAACAAACGTACAATAGCCGGCTTCGAGGAGTCTACAGGTGAGTCATGAAAAAAAACACCTTCCGGTGCGAGCATGGAGGGGTCACAGATGCCCTCTCCTTTGGGCTGTTGGGCGACGGGGACAACGGTAAGAGCCTGATGTATGTGAAGATGCTGCCGGCATCACAAAAAGCTGCTGAACAGTAGTAGCATGACACACGACCATCTTCCTTCAGCGCTTCCAGCGATGGAAGATAAGGAACTTTGCAGTGGGTGGCACAGGGTCCACACGGCCAGGAGAGGCAGATAGAGAAGGTGAGCGCCATAAGTCTGAGTTGTGTCCGCTAGATTTTGCCCTTGCTGGGAGCTTAGGGAAAGCGAGCTCCAATCTTGGAATTTCTAAGATGGGCGGCCCGCGCGATTGAGGTATACGGCGCAAGTCCTGAAGCAATGGGCAGTGGCATATTCACGACTTTCACATTGCAGAGTCAGAATTGAGAAAGCATCTCCTTTTGCTGCGCCCCAGACAGTCCCTCCTCTGGCCCCCAACCTCATTCTGCCCTGAATAGACAGAAGTATGCAGTAAGGACGGTGCGCAGTTCTGGTTCTATCTACTTGAGAACAAGCAAAAAGGGATGGGACCTGTACTCAACGGAAGCCGTCTAAATCAAAGTTGGCGATCTTAGCTTTGCGAAGTCCTCCTGTGTAAGGACGCGGAAGCCGATTTTGCTTTCCAGCGCTTGAGCCTTGGAAGTTGCCAACGCTGACCTCAGTAACATTGCAGCTCCGGGTACCTGAAAGGATGTAATTTGGGCCCAATAGATTCTCATATGTTGTGGGCCCAAATCGTCTGCTATTTGGGTGCTTGGACCTGGTTCTTTGCAAAGGATGTTTGTCTTTCACCAAAAAGGTATGCAAGCGCTCTTGCCAAGTGGCTTGTGGGATTTCAGCTTATTAGGAGGTTCTTGGTGGGAGGCTGGAAGGGCCAGGGTTAAGGGATCACAGTGTCACAAAATCCCAAACCGCCCAAACCCGTAAAGATTCTCAATGAGCCGCAAGGTACAGAACGGCGAGCAATGCCAAAGCTTGCCGCCTTTCGTGCGTTTTCCGGCTGGAAGAAGGTCCGACACTCTGGTCTGAGCTGAAGAAACCTTTAGCTTTGTTTGGTGTGGATTCTTGAATCAAGATGGATTTGGGTAGTCCAATTGTTAAAGGATGCTGGAGTTTGGCGGGCCCGAGGGTGTAGAGTTGAGTTTTTCAATCGGCATATGTGCATATATGACATATATGGGTTTAGTTTGGAGGGGAGTATGTGGAGATTTACCAAGACTAGGTCGTTCGGTAGTTTGTTGCGATGTGGCCGTGTGTGATCATGAAGCAAGTCTGCCATGATCCCGCTTAGGCGTTAAGTTGAATCTGAATTAGGTGGAGGCTTCAAGTAAAACAATACGAAGTCCTTTGCATGCTAAACATCAATCAAACCCCGAACAGCTAACAACTAGTGGTTTTTCGTGACTCGTATATATAGGTCTTCAGAGCAACAGATTCCGAGACACCACGCCCAAATGCCGATCCGGCATTGCCAGGCGGATTTTGGTCATGGGCCTCTACCACTCCTGCACAAACGCCATGGTCAAGGATCTGTTGTGAGACGTCTATGGGTGATGGGGAAGTTGAGTTGAAAGGGCAGTTGACTCAGGGTCCGAGAACTTTCTCTGGCCGCGTTCAAAAGGTCATGGAGGATCTTCATATGCGTCGGTCCTTGACTACCAAGGCTTCTGAAAGACCAGTCAGTCTTGGACTGTGAGGCTTCCTCCCTGCGAACCTGCGAAAACCCTGCTGCTACTCTACTACGACGACTACTCCTACTGCTACCACTACTGCTGCTACTGTTGTTACTGCTACGACTGCTGCTACTGATACTGCTGCTATTGCTGACACTACTGCTGCTACTGCTGGTACTATTACTATTACTATTACTATTACTATTACTATTACTACTACTACTACTACTACCACCACCACTACTACCACCACTACCACACGTACATGCAGGTGTCACGCCCACTCGGTGCCGGAATATTTTTGTTGTAGATTAAATGTCGAAATACGTTTTGCAAAGGTTCTTTCGGTAGGGTCATGTATGTAGGTATTCACCGAGTAGACGCCACACGAAGCCCATGGCCGCACGAGAAAAATCCATTGAAGGCACTATACTAAGCCCATACTATGAGTGAAGAAGTTAAAGTCAAAGCAGGGTCCTGTGTTTGAAAGAAAGTCATGTGGCCGGAGAGAGGCACACGTAAAGGCATATGACCGGTGAACGGCGCACAAGGTGTACGGTCCATCATGAGTTGGATGGGAACCGCGCAGATATGTGTCTGTCCTCCGCAAACTTCAGCTGATGTATTGTGCACGGCAAATCCTGTAGGTAGCTTCCGAGGAATCTTGCAAATAGGACCGGAGCCCTCGCACTACGGGGAGCAGATATTTGTTTTCAAGAGATTTGTTGCTCTTACCACTCCTCGCCCCGGACGTCGGACCGGGTCGGCTCATCTTTTGTGGTTCTTGGTTGCATACCGAATGTACGTCCATCAGCAGCCCCCATATAAACATAGCATGTGAGCTCCGTCGGCACGACCCTTTGTTCAAGGAACAGCAGAAGCCCCCGGTGCTCGTCTCTTGCAGGGCCCTCTGCAGTGCATCACATGTGCTCATACTGAAGGTCGAACATCAGGGCTCCACCGGACTTGACGCAGGTCTCTCAGCAAGGGGCTGACAAATCTAGTCAAATGATGCTCCCCGTTCACGCATGCAGGGACCATGGCATAAGCAATGATCAAACAGGCCAACTAGTAACTAGTACTACAAGAGCCCAAAGTGGACTTACTCGAACCGTAGTGTTTTGCTGCTGCTACTGCTACTGCCACCACTACTACTACTACTACTACTACTGCTACTACTATTACTACTACTACTACTACTACTACTATTACTACTACTATTCCTGCCACTACTACCTACTACTACTACTACTACTACTATTATTGCCACTACTACTACTACTACTACTACTACTACTACTGACGACGACGACGACGACGACGACGACGACGACGGCGACGTCGATCACGACCACCACGACCACGACGACCACCACCACTCCCACGACCACCATCACCGCCACCGCCACCACTGCCACCACCGTGACCACTTCCACTGCTGCTGCTGCTGCTGCTGCTGCTGCTGCTGCGGCTGCTGCTGCTGATTAGTGTTTCTGTTATTGTTGTTCTTGTTGGTAATTTTCCAACCCAGTTATGATGACTACAACTGCAAGCTAACTATCCTCCTCCTTTCTGCTGGATTCTTCACGATGGGTCCTGACAGGAGCTGCAGAAGCGCTTCGATGTAGAGGTGCTGAACGTTGCTTGGCCTACAGCCGGTTCATGCCGGTTCTAGAATTCCATTGTGGGTTTCTTTGTAGTAATACAGTACTTTGGCAACAAGATGCCAATGTACAAATCGCGGTCCCCAAACCTCAGACCCCAAACGCTGCTGGGCTTGGTTCTGAGAGCGCGGCTTTGATCCCATTTGGGAAAATTGCTGACGGGCTTCTCAAAAAGCCAGGGAAGATAATCTTGTTGGCTCAGGATTGGCATACGTGCAAGGCTGACGTGGCACAAATCTCAGTTGGAACGGTTATGCTTTTGTAGCGCTTGATCGATTGAGCCGCGAGCAAGAGCATGGCCAAACATGCAGACATTTCATGTTGCTATACTTTCCATGCAGAGACTGTTTTTGTCACTTTAAAGCATCGCACCAGTGATGGCAACCTATACCAACCAAGACTCGCTAAGCACTGGCGCACAAGGCATGCCAAGTATGAAGTTGCAGGGTGCAAGACGCAACGCGTCCGATCGGACGGATGTTCAAAGTGTTTCCTGTGCCAGCGTTAACACCCTGCGGCAAACTTCCCAGAAAGTGAAAAGCTCGGCTGCACATCCCACGGGTCCAAGCACATTCTGGTGTCGGGTACCGCGGACCGTCAAGACCAAATTCCCTTCATGCTTGGGTGGCGGCTTCTGGCAAGTTCAAAGGCGTGGAAGCACCGCGCCAACCGTCGCCGCGTTGAGGCATGTATGCCCGAGACAGGTGATTCAGAGTCTGCGAACAGCATTCATTTCACTCACTTATGAGGATTTCTTCAGACGTATAGGGTGCCAGTCGTGTACGTTCATGTATGTGTGCCCCGTGAGACAGGATGGCAACACCCGGAACGTGATTCACGTTAAATCCTGAAGGGGGTCTCAACTGAGCCAAGCTGTGGAGAGATGATTCATAAATGACCTGGGGGTGCTAAGTTCGGCAAATTGTTCACACCCGACTGTTTTGGGTAGTTAGGATGGTGGGCCCATGGATGTCATTCAATACCCTAACACCTTGTGCCTGAGCTGCCGAGTCCTGCAACCCACTGCGGCCAAAATTTGTTTGGGGCCCTTTTTTTAATCGAGAGTGCAAATTCGGGCTCCAGCATTATCAATGCTGCTCTTACCCGACATCATACCACCGCCGTGGTGACTCTAGTCACAGAAATGCAGAAGCAGCAGGCGCTTGCAGAAGACGGTGGGAGCCTGAGAAGCGTAGCTCGTGGCTGGTGCTGGAGTTGTTTAGGGGCCCCATAGTCCCCGAGGTTGCACAGTCCTGCGCTTCTGCACAGAATTTCGACTCTGCAGCCTTTGGGGGGAATGGATGTATATGCGGAGCCTTGAACCCTTTTGCGGGGATGTTGCCTGCCGAGTTTTCTGCATCCTCCTGGTGAAAGAGCCGCACTTCTGGCTGAAGAGCTGCAGCCGTGAGCTGCGGAACTTCTTCGAGATCCGACCATTCGCCCCTCGGGCAGACGATGTGTTGGGAGTAGAATTGTGCCGTCAGTTCGGCAGGATGGAAAAGAAACACACGAACTACTATGCAATTTAGGACACGTGGGTTCTGGGGTTGATGTGATTTGATGTGTGTGTGTGTGTTTGAGGTCTGAGGGTTGTCATTGGTCTTTGGGGTGTGAAGGTTGGAACCTGAAGGCTTCAGGAAGTTGGCTTCAGGAAGTTCGAGTTGGACTGCAAGGGGGGGTGTCGGGTCAAGTGTGCCGAGTCATTTTCTCAGTGGAACACTCAATCAAGCCAAGCCCTGTCAGAACTCAGCCGGTGGCTGCTTCGGGAGTTTTCTTGGCTTCCTCCTGTGGCCAAGGGCCGCAAAATCCCAGGTGCCGACTCACATGAGAAAAGGACTCTAGGTGCCAACCGCTCTTCTATATTCGACTCAAAAAGACCCGCAAGAACCCAAGAGCTAGGCTGGGAAAATCTCATGAATTTTAAGGGAGGGAGATGCCTCGTCCAAACAGCGATTGGAAGACGTACTAGATGTACTAGCCACTCAGGAGGGTCCTCAGCGTCGCGAGATGCCAGCGCAGCAATTGCTGGAGACTGAAGGATGAACTGGGTAGAGTTCATGTGAGCCATATTCTAAACTC